ATGGTTATCCCTTATAGTCTTCTTTATATAAAAAGAAAAAAAAATCGCAGAAAATATTTCGTCTATAAAATAACTCTTGAGTTAAAACGCGTTAAAACTATAATTGCAAAAAGTTACATATTTACATTACTTATATTTCCATGCATATCAAGTACTTGCACTCATAAATATACTTTATTCTCCGTGTTTTATATAGATAACTTTAAATCTTACTCTAAGATAAAATTATATTACGTGATTTATCTATAATATTTCAATCGTAGTTTTTCTGTACACATTAGATTTCATTGATCTTGATTTACATAAAAATAAGGTAGAAATAATCTAACACAAGTAAAGCAAATTTGGTTTAGATACAAAGTAGTTCAATTCTATTATAAGCGATCGAGAAAAATTTCTTCAATCATGTAATTTTTAAACTCCTTTTAGTGGTTTGTCTGTACATTTTTCTGATTCTGTTTGTTATTGTTGAAAGACATTCTCAAAAATTCTTCATAAGCCTCTGCTACCTTATCTGCCTCTTCGTCATTTTCCCAAGGACCTCTGCAATAAATTTGAAAATTAACAATAGGACTTTTGAAATTGCTAATTATTTTAATACGTAACTAAAATTGAATACTTACGCGAGCTCTTCTTCCAAATTTCCTTCTTCAAGAAACCTGCTTTCTTCTTCCGTTATTTCTTGGCCATCAGGACCATAAAATACTGGCTCGTCACTTACTTGTGAGCTAGACGGTTGCTTAGTTTCAATATCCCGCGATGTATGAGACAAACTTACACCCCAATTTCCACTCCTTAATTCACTCACGCTCGTTACCATTCGCCCAACGTGTGAATCTACCCTCCCTTGTATGACTAGATCCGATAATGTGCGCATAACTTGTTCCATTTCGTTTCGATTTCCACTGTTATCTCTTTCCAAAGTTTGGCCAGCCAACTAAAATTATTTTTCATTACATCATGAGTAGAGCTCGATATATTAGAATACTGATGCTATGAACATTTCTTTACCTTTAGAGCTTGACAAATATTTTTAGCTGATGTAGGAGCTGGATTTAGTAAGACAGTATTAATCAATCGAATAAGGAGTTTTCCTAATTCTGAAGCTGGAGTAGGTTCCATTTGTGTAACCAATTCAGCTAAAAAGAATATTAATCCATGACATTTTTTTTCAACGTCATCAGTGTGTTTTGTTATTTGTTTCCAAGTCTCAGCCTGCTCTTCTGTTTTTTGTTTACACCTGTGAGTGATTGAGAATTTTATAAATACATAAATCTGAAATTGCTGAAATTTTGTTTAAAGTAAAATGCTTACTGGTTAAGTAATGTTTCTCTGAATGTTGACGTGGACTTATCTCCTGCTAGTGCTACTGTATCAAGGTGAGTGCAAAGCCGTGCTCCACTGTATCGAAAGTTACCTTCATTGAGCGACTGGAATAAACAAATTATTTTTAAAAATTTTCAAATTTTAATAAAATTATTATTTTACAATAATAAAGTACGCTACCTGCTGAATGATCATCTGAAAAATTTGTTCGCATTGGTTTGGTTGATCAAGAAAAGGATTGACAGTATCTACCAAATGGGCCACCAAGGAGTCGAATTTTCCAGGACTCAGTGTCAAAGTTCTCATTGCACTTTCCAATTGTATCAAACATGTAGGTAGATCAACAGGTCCAGTGTCCTGTCAAATTTTTCAATTATTAACACAAATATTACATCCAAACACCAAACTTTGGTTCAATATAATATATGTTTTAACACTACACCATACCAAACGTTTGTCTATGTAGTCTCCAGAACCTCCATCATATTGACCATAATCTTGATTATTAGAATACTGGTTGTAGTGCTGTTGATAGGACTGTCCCCGATACCCCGCATCTGAATATTGATGGTGATGGTAGTTTTGAGAAGAACCAGATTGCTGCCAGTGGCTCTGGTTTCTTTGAATGTTCATAGTTTGATGAACGTTTTGATCCTGGCGCGCTAGTTGGATACGATTTTGCACAGAAGATATAGGCCCGAATCCAGTACTCATCTGGGATGGCTAGGGTATTTTCATGCAAAGAATTAAAATTTTCTCTAGATACCAGATACATAAAGGCAAGTGAGAAATTGTTTAGTCACTTACAGGGGTGAATGCTTTTGGAACAAATTCAGCAGCATCAGCAGAAAGAACAGAGTTTCTGACGATGTCGCTCAAATTTCCTAAAATATTTCAATTCAGTCAAATAAAAAATTAGTTCAGACTAATCAACCACCCTCTACACTCGGCATCAATCTGGTCCCAAATAAACAACATTTCAACATGTACGCATCTACATGCGAGCGTATACATGTTATACGTGCATTGATATTAAAAAAAAAAAAGACCTATCAATAAAGTCAATGACTTTGGGAGCTGGTTGGCCAGCCCGCGAGGGGGTAAGTAGGTACAAGTAACACCCATACCATTAAGGTGACCAAAATGGAAAGCACACTTAATGATATCGTACCGTGAGGCTGCTGAACTTGGGGTCGGAAGGATTGCTCGTTGGAGGCTGGCCGGGCACCACGACCGCGTCCCCGGCCCACGCACCGTTCGAGCTCGGCGTCTCCTGGGCCACCTCCGTCTGGGTTGCCGTGCTGATGCTGCATGGCCGCGGAGCGTACTGCTGGGCCTCAGACGTATGTTTTCCCACAAAGACTATATATATATAGCGCTCCGGGATGTGCGACCCTAATATATAGTCACCCTAGGACCGAGGCTGTCGCACAACGAAGATGAGGTTAGTTGTCGATGCGAATCTGCAGCTGCACAGAGCGTTCCGAAATTGACGGCACATGCACATGCACACTCTATGCTGGCTGTGTACCTGTGTATATTTAGGTATACCTGTATCTGCTGCCCTGCTGCAGGGAAATAAAATATTATGGTTTTTAAAGGTTAAGTACTTACTTTTATAATAACAAAGTAAAAACACTAGCGAGCTACCACCTACCAGGTCAGACATCAACCGAGGATGCTGGGCCAGATTGGGCTGAAGTGCCAGACTCGAAAAATTTAATCGAAGCGCTTTTACGTGGACATGATGTAAGTAAGTCTAAACACCTATAAAAATATGTATCCCCCAAATCCTAATCCCCATCAGAAGGTACAACTTAAGGGAGCCTGATGGTAACCCTACATTGTTATAACTACACAAAACTTTGAAAGTTAGCGATTTAAAAAGATAATTTTGCTAATTAAGTATGTGCTCCTAAATGTATTAATATATAATAATGAAAATAATTGTGAAAGTACAAATATACCTATTAGTTATCATTTGACGTTTTTATTTTTTAATTTTATTTATATGTCCTCTACTATTATTTTAACAACAAAATATCGTTTAATTGTATACCGTTTTTTGTGAATGAGGGAAAAACACCTATTTTTATACAGAGGTGTGCATCGTTGAAAAAAAATTTTAAAGTACGTGTCTATAGGTGGTGTGTTTTTTCATTTTAATTGAACCTTAAATTTATACCTTTTTATTCTTTTTATTTTTTAATTTTTGTCCCGTTAGATGGCGCTGATGCTGGTCTCAAAGTTATACGTTATGTTATACCAAACAAAGCAGACGACCGTAGTGTTACACTACTACCAATGTACATACACTATAGTGTGTACTACTACCACCACAGTGGTAGACCACCACAGTGTACTGTTTTCGAAATAAACAAAACATATATTATATAAATTGCGTGGTGAAAAAGCACATATATATATATAGATGATGGTGCTATAGCTCGCCTGCCATATCCACGTATATATTGATACACACTCACAGCAGTGATACCAACTAACCGAATAGTTTTCGGGTTGGTATGCCAGTGCTCGCTGCGCTGGAGTCCCCTTAAGATAAAGGTGTGTGCACTGCGCATGCTCAGCTAGCTCTTAACTCCTCTGGCGACCGACAGAGGGCCAGTGACGTGAAATCATGAGGCGGGAAATTTTAAATAAAATCGTCTGAGTAATATCACTTTATGCGCTTCTACTGTCTGACTTTGTATAAATATTTTATATAAATTTACCTTAATTGCCTCGAAAAATCGTTTATACGTAGATACATAGTAAAGACTCAGGCAATACACTGATATCCCTGCAATTAAAATATGAAAAATTAATTTCACAGTGAACATGACACACGGGTGTCTCAGTTTAGAGACTATCGAGCATTACTTGCCTGTATACTATACCTCTTATATCTACCCGCAAATAGTTTTTAATTTTTTGTACAATACTGAGACATGTAAAGTTTTAATCATTCGCATAAGAACACGTCACCCAGTATTTTTTTTCAATGCATAATAAGGTTGGTATTTTGTGGACTGACTTCAGATAGCGTAAAATAATATTTAATTTTGCATCTTTTTGAATTTACTTAACACTTAAATGAGTGATGGATTTTCTTGGTGTATAATGTTTTTTGACGAATTAAATATAATATAGATTTTGTCAAATCGAGTGATGTACAATGGACAAAACTAAATATATAAAATAATATTATCATAGAAAAAAAAGCAATACATACTTTTCAAAGGTAACACAAACTTTCTTGCCACACGTATTTTATGTTTTAAGTTTGAATAAAAATTGTAACTTTGAATTCTTGTTTTGTCAAGAGACTTTGTAGATTGAAATAATAATCAGTGCCAATAAACGTCTATAATAATGATAGAAATGAGATTGATTGATTTGATTGGTTGATTTGTTTATTAAAATTTTAGGGGCTACGGGGCAGAATCTCTCAACTGTCCAGTTACACAGAAGAGCTACAAAATAAAAATAAAATAAATTAAATAAGTATAAAATAAAACAAAANAAATAAATTAAATAAGTATAATAAAAAATAAAACAAAATATAAAGTAAAGTTAACAAAAATTAAAGAAATATCGTGATAAAAAGTAAGGTAAACAAGTAAGGGAGAAAATTAAACCAATACAAAAACAACAACAACGAGCAATTAAAGGCATAAGAATAGAAACACTGATAATGTGGTGCATAATAAGATAGAGAATTACTTCTCATGATTATCTGTAGGAAAACATTTTTGAAACCATAATTTTATTGAAGGCAAAGATAATTCTCAGTTAAAAAAATTTTTTCAAGGTATCACATAATATTTCGGTCTTCCCGACATAATTTTTCCGAAAATCAAGATGAGAAAAAATTGTTTGTCTCGCGCACACGTACCTACAGCTTTTATATGAAACATTATGTAACAAAAAATTGTTGGGAACGAAAAACTAAATGTACACGACAAAAATTCGCCGTATAGGTATTTACATACGTACATCATACATATTTATACATAAGTATGTATGTGTGCAAGTGCAACAACAATTTAGCAATAAGCGTTTCTAATCACCTTAGCCCTAATTCTCTTGGAAATAGCGAGTGTGTGTGGAGTAAACAAGCCGTACTGCATCGCCTAACTTACGAAGGAAGAAAAGAAAAAAAGAACGAAACCGGCGTTGTTCCATTTGGCCGTCGAGAAATAACCGGTACGTCGGAATACATGACAGAGTCCAAAAGAGATCGGATAGGCACATAATTAGATTACGCGGAGTAATAGCCGCTCCAGTCCATTATCTACTCGGGACTGCGATAATTCGATTTTGCGAAACTGCTTGTTGAATCATCATTTTCATTCATCATTCTTTTTTTTTCGTAATTCACAATTTTTTACTTTCTTTCTTCGTTGATTATCGTACATGATTTCCAAATTTCTTAAATGTAACAACATAATGCATTTTTTATTATTAAAAAGAAAACTTATTTGTTATTAAAAAAAAAAAAAAATTACTAAAAGTATTAAAATATTTCAATTCAATTCCTATTAAATGAACTTGAGATATCTGAATGCGAAAATTTTTTTTCTCAATACTGTATTGCAAACAGTAACAAATACAATAAATAAGTATTTACCAAAAAACGCACTTTATTCAGAAAAAAAAAAATTCTTTCAAAATGTTCAAAAATCTCTAAAATAATTGTACTCAGGTCTGATTTTACAAAAAATTCACAATGTAGGTTTTTAAATTTAAAAATCAGTATCCTAAATATTACAAAATTATACTTTTTCAATAAACCAATTGAATATTAAATCACGTATACATCAAAGTTACTAGGAATTTTTTAATAGAGCTAGTGTGGGCTTTCATGGATAATTGGAATGTGCTTGTATTCATATCCATTCGAATCGAGTAAACCCATTGTCTGGAAAATTTATTGCAGTAAAATGTTGTCAATGGAAATGGTTTTTTTTCTTCTTTTACCTCACAAGTATCGTGTCTAATACAATAGGCTCAATTGTTATTTATCGCAAACGCGACTGCGTACATAGCAATTATCACGTTGTAACCCGTGATGCAAGAGATTTTGCATTTTTAAAATATACATCTATACTTGAACGGTATACCACTGATGTGCGTAAATCGCGAATAAATCCAATAAAATCGATTTGTACACACACATACTGTAATACATATATATATATCAAACGTTTCAGGATTTCAGATCATCATCGCGACTATCATGGTCGATCTTGTATACGAACCATGAAACGTTTGATTGTGAATAAACGTTTACTTAGGTCGCTGCGTGTAACAAATTCAATTGAATCGTCCGAACCCTGCCTGTACACATATTTTTCATTATTAAAAACATTTCCATCATCGCACGCACGTTATACAATAACCTGCGCGTACTAAATGACATTATGAAACTTTGATTATAATCGTTAATTGAATACGTAAAAAAAAAAAACAAGTTGACATTTTATTGATTTGGACACGGATTGAATTTTTTTTTTTTTTTTAATTTTTAATTACTTAGTATTTATAACAAATTTTTTTCAAGCAAAAATAATGCGTTTCGCAACTTGAAAGAAAAATAATTCATATTTAGAAAAAAATAGTCAGAGCATTTAAATATTTTATTTCAAATACCGTACAACAAAATTTCAATACAAAAAAGCACATATATATATATAGATGATGGTGCTATAGCTCGCCTGCCATATCCACGTATATATTGATACACACTCACAGCAGTGATACCAACTAACCGAATAGTTTTCGGGTTGGTATGCCAGTGCTCGCTGCGCTGGAGTCCCCTTAAGATAAAGGTGTGTGCACTGCGCATGCTCAGCTAGCTCTTAACTCCTCTGGCGACCGACAGAGGGCCAGTGACGTGAAATCATGAGGCGGGAAATTTTAAATAAAATCGTCTGAGTAATATCACTTTATGCGCTTCTACTGTCTGACTTTGTATAAATATTTTATATAAATTTACCTTAATTGCCTCGAAAAATCGTTTATACGTAGATACATAGTAAAGACTCAGGCAATACACTGATATCCCTGCAATTAAAATATGAAAAATTAATTTCACAGTGAACATGACACACGGGTGTCTCAGTTTAGAGACTATCGAGCATTACTTGCCTGTATACTATACCTCTTATATCTACCCGCAAATAGTTTTTAATTTTTTGTACAATACTGAGACATGTAAAGTTTTAATCATTCGCATAAGAACACGTCACCCAGTATTTTTTTTCAATGCATAATAAGGTTGGTATTTTGTGGACTGACTTCAGATAGCGTAAAATAATATTTAATTTTGCATCTTTTTGAATTTACTTAACACTTAAATGAGTGATGGATTTTCTTGGTGTATAATGTTTTTTGACGAATTAAATATAATATAGATTTTGTCAAATCGAGTGATGTACAATGGACAAAACTAAATATATAAAATAATATTATCATAGAAAAAAAAGCNAAAAAAAAAAAAAAAAAAAAAAAAAAAAAAAAAAAAAAAAAAAAAAAAAAAAAAAAAAGAATTACGACAATACAGCGCATACAAATCGACGCGTATGAAAAAAAAAAAAAAAAAAAAAACCTTAAAATTGATCCCCAATTCGTAGACGAATAGCGGCAAAGTTGGACACACATGCACGTGCGCGGGACGAACGACGCTGGCTGGCTGGCGTCTTTATCAATCGGCCATAAGCGAGCGGCTGTACATGCCTTATACCCGCTCGATCATTATCCCAATAGTCAGAGCCGAGCGCGCGAGCGGAGAGTGTGCAACAACTGTTACACCGGTAACATATATCACACCTGCATACACACGCGTGTCTTCGTGAACGTTCTTAATTATTTATACCCGGTGATAAGGGAGTGAGTGAAAAACTAAAAAAAAAAAAAAAAAAAAAAATGCCTATGGTGAGAAACGGCGGTTAGTTTGTAACCGGCAACCAGTGCCCCGAGACCCGAGTGATCAATAATATACAGTGCGCGTCGCAAGTTATCGCCCTGTGTGCCTTTTTGGAGCAAAGGGTTTTTGTAGTTTGGTTGAAACGATGACGGAGAGGATGGACAAGGAGGGCGGCTCACCGGCCCAGGGCTTGAAAAGGGAGCTCGGGCTTTTCAGCGCCATCAGCATGATCGTAGCCGTCATGATCGGTAATCCTATATGTACCTTCCGTTTTAGTGCTTTTTTTTTTTTTTTTTTTTTTTTACTTTTCAAAAGAACAATCGAGCGATAAATGCTACCGTGGCGTGTATTTATAACTCAAGGGGCGCACGCACGAATTTCTGTTGCTATCTGCGGGCCAATGCACAATCGTTGCACGAGCTTTCGTGTGTTACGTATGTGTATACATGTGTATACGTACAGTTACATTTTTTATTGCGATTAAATTTTGTTTGACCGAAAGTGCGATAATACACCCGAGGCGCACTTTATCTGGTCGGGGTATTTTGACGTGTCGAGTGACAGAGGCTCTTTTTCATATAAAATATCACCTACATTGTACTACGTCACCAATTGTACAAAGTCATGCCATGGGTTGGCTAGTAACGATAACGATGAAAAACTTATTTTCACGCTTGTGCATGTACATGCATGGGATTCCGTTTCAAAATGATTGATCTCTTTTTTTATAGATACAGTGATTTTATATTTCTCCGATAACAAAAAGTAGGGCACGCAGCTGCTCTCGCCACCAAGCTGCGCGATTATGAAAGATGATTTGCGCGTGAATTCAGAATTTTCAGCGCGTGTCCAAAATATTTGCCTAAAAATCTATAAACGATTTGGGGAGACTACCTCCCTCCCGATGATCGGTATCAAATAAATGAGGGGGGAGAAAAGAAGAATATTTAATTAAAGAGTATACATTTCCCGGAACGTTGCATACATGCTCACGTTGCGTGTGTTGCCCAATGCGACACTTAATTACTTACGTAATTTTGTAGACGAGCAGTAGCCAATTGAATAATCCCGTGTAATAAAAAAGACAAATGATGCAGCACATCTACTTTTAAAGACGTACGAGCTTGTGCGGGTAATCGGTGTAAGTTTCCGACGATTCAATGAGCGAATTGCTTTTATCATCGCCAGATTTGCCGGTCGTTCGAACACGTACTATTTTAACCGGGACGTTTATCATCACTCGAAACGATACAACGCATCGTTCGTTTCAATAAAAACAGAATTTCCATTCTTTTTTCTTTCTTTTAGATCAATTTATTTCTTGTTTCCTATGGCGTGCAGTAATATCTAAACCTATTACTGATAATATATATATTATTGCATAATTGGCTGTGGGTCTCTCGGAGAAATTTTAACGAGGTGTATGTGCGTATAGCCTCACAGTGCGCTTGGAAAGTCAACATCGTAATTTGGGCGTCGTTCGGCTACTACATACTCCAACATCATTAGGCTCAATTGACGAACGGTTGGCTAACTTTTATTTGGCCTTGTCATATTTATTTCCCCGAAAAACATCACCACGTGACACGAAACATCCACTGTGTATAATACCCATCGAAATTTTCTGATGGATGATCGGTTGCGTCGCGTGTGGATCGAAAAACAAATTTTATCGTGCAACGAATTCGTGATTCCTTCAATTTTTCCTCGAAATCCAAACTGAGCCTCGTCTATGCTCAATTTTTTTATATTTATTTCATCGCTTACGAATTATCATACATGTACATTTTGCCATTTCATGCTATAAATGCGTATGACGTGTAATTTTATATTAAATAAGTACACACATTTTGCCACAGTACACAATAAAAAAGGGGATAAGAAATTCTAGATAATTAAGCATCTTGGCGATTAAATTTAATTAAAAATGTCTGTACAGGCGCGTATGTATATATTTTTTCTTATGAAAGCCGAAGTGTTATATATTCACGTACTTGATGGTTTTCTTTTGATATACATTTTTTTTTTTTTTCGCTCGACTACTGATATAATTGCAGCCTCTGGCAAGTGGTTTCAAAACTAGCACTATCAAACTCCTTGTCTACATATATGTTTCGAGAAATCCTTGGGAATTTAATCTAAATGACTAATTTTTTTTTTTTTTTTTTTTTTTATAACACGTTCAAGAGTGTATACGTAAAGTAAATATTTCGCCAAATATAGAGTGGTGGTATTTAATCATCTTGAACCACAAAATAAATCAAAGAGACGTCAGATTCTAAGTAAGTTGAATGTTCTCTAGATGATAAAAAAAAAAAAAATTTGAAAGCTCGATCTTTATCTTGAAAAAATGGGTGAGTAGAGTATAAGAGTAATCTTTGTTAGTAAGCCACGAAAGTGTGCGTACACAAAGATAAACTAACGAATTAACGCAGCACTCGATCGAGATGCAGCTATATATGCTTTACGTAATTGGGAAAGAAAAGAAGGAGTGGCGTCGTGGGATTGTTATAATTCATTCAGAAAAGTCGCTTAGAATATCGGAACACGCATATCATAAAGAATTATACCGTACCAGCCTTAATAAATTTACGAGCTCAATGTATAGACCTCTGTTCGCCAGCAATTGATTTTCATTTTACTCGTACGCGTTTAATAATTCTTTTCTTTTTGTTCGACAAAGAAAAAATACAACGAAAATTTAAGTTCAATTCATTCAGATGTCAAGTTGATATGGGCTGCGATTTAATACCATTTCGCTATATGTATCTGAGCCGAATGACCGTTTTGTTGAGCGACGTGTATAAATTTTCCCACAATGTTGTATCTTAAAGTCGTATCTCTTGTAAAATGCACGATAAACGTATTAAACAAGAAAAACGACATCATTGCGAATAACAACAGTGGCTGATGAAATCAACAAGTGGCGATAATCCGTTCGATTGATCAGCCTATATTATGTTTAGATATAGACGGAGAAAAGTACCATTTGCATGAAAGTTGTTTTTTACCCGCACAATTGAAAAAAAAAAAAAAAAAAAAAAAATGGCACAAGCGCTCTTGAACTGATTGCAAAACGCTCCCGTATCGGTACTACGCTCGTGATGTGAATTATATATTTTTCTGGGGAGGGAAAAAAAAAACGTTATATATACAAAACCAACTAAAAAAAAAAAAAAAAAAAAACAATCTGATCCTCGCAGGCTCCGGCATCTTCGTGTCACCCTCGAGTGCCTTGGAGCACTCGGGCTCGATCGGCCTGAGCCTGATAGTATGGATGGTATGTGGCATTCTGTCCCTACTGGGCGCCTTGGCGTTCGCGGAACTGAGCGCGGTTGTGCCAAAATCGGGCGCCGAGTACGCTTACTTCCTCGACGCCTTCGGCCCCCTCCACCGCTACTTTGGCGAACTACCGGCCTTCCTTTACTCCTGGGTCTTCGTGTTCGTGCTCAGGCCCGCCGAGGTCGCGGTCATCGTCCTCACGTTCGCCGAGTACTTTGTCCAACCCCTCGTTCCTCTCGTCGGTGAACTAGACGCCCACAACTGGACTCTGGTACGTAACAATCCCTGCACCCGCACCCTTATCAAAGTCAAGACAAAAATTTAAAAAAATTAAAAAAAAAAAAAACTCTGCATCCACCCGACGCAGTTGAAGAAGCTCGTAGGAAGCCTGGCTCTTGGTCTGATGGTCTACATCAACATAACGAGCGTGAAGCTCTACGTGAAGGTGCAAAACACCTTCGGGGTGTTCAAGATCCTCGCCTGCATCCTCGTGATCGTGGGTGGCTGCTGGTGGCTCGCCACCGGACACACCGACCTCCTGAGCGAGCCGTTCAAAGGCACGACCAGCTCCCCCGGCCAGATAGCCTTGGCGTTCTACAGCGGACTCTGGGCCTACGACGGCTGGTACTGTTTGGAAATCCACATATTTGTATTATAACGTGTATTTTAATTTTAATTTTTTTTCTTTTCCAACTCGTGGTGTTTGTCAGGACGGCCGCTGCGATCGTCACCGAGGAGGTCAAGAGGCCCGAGGTCAACATACTCCGGTCCATATTGGTCGCGGTGCCCGTTGTCACTGTGCTCTACGTCTCCATGAATCTCATGTACATGTCCGCCCTGACGACGACCGAGATGATAGGGGCGCCCGCGGTCGCCGTACTCTGGGCCGAGAGGATTCTTCCCTCCTGGATGGGCTTTGCCATACCCCTCGGCGTCGCCCTCTCCACATTCGGCTGCGGACTCAGCGTGCAATTCGGCGTCACGAGGTGACCATTATTTTTTTTCTTCCCTCGGCCGAATATCGCGTTAATCGCCTTAAAAGTTAATTGTTGAGCCAAGGACTTGAGAAAAAAAAAACCATTAGTGCCATTTTTGACATTTACGAATTCCTCGATCGGAAAGTAATGGGTTGTTGTTTTCTTTGCAGGCTGTGTTACGTAGCTGGTAGGGAGGGTCACGTGCCGCGTTTCTTCAGTTGGGTGCACCACGAGCGCCTGACCCCGGCCGCCGCGGTGGCGTTGCAGGGCGCCCTGACGCTGCTCTACATGATGCTGGGCAACATCGTCGAGCTCATCGAGTTCGCCAGCTTCCTCATATGGGTGTCCTACGGTCTGGCCATGCTCGCCCTGATCGTCATGCGGTACACCAAGCCCGACGTCCAGCGGCCGTATCGCGTACCGACCTTCGTGCCCTGGCTCGTCCTCTTGATATCCGTCTACCTGTCGCTCATGCCCATTTACGAGGATCCCTCGCTCAAGTACATGTTCGTTCTCGTCTTTGTCCTCCTTGGCTGGGTCGTCTACCACTTTTACGTCCATCAGAAGAAAAAGAGCGACTTCACCAGTGAGTATAATCATATATTTGGGTCTAACAATATGTTAATTGGTGGCTTTTTCAAAGCCAACGAGGATCAATCGACATTATCGACTGGTTTTAATTTTTCGTAAGGATTAACGAGGCTTGAAAAATATCGAGCGATGTAGTTTTACGAAACATTTTTCATAATATGTACTTGTATACATTTTTACATAAAAAATGCTAAAACAGCCTAAAGTAATTTAGTACGATGTCGTTAATATTTTTATTTATATAATAACAACAACAAAAAATGGTTCTTTGTAACGTTTCAGGAAAGCTCACGTATTTAGTCCAAATGTTGTTCATGGTCGTCGCACCCGATGAGGTCGAGGACAAGAGCGACGAGGCTTTGAACGATAAATCGAACCAAGTCAAGTAGGTGAGCCATCTGACACACAAGTGAGAGGCTATATCATCGTATAAGTATATATCCTCCTGCAGCGAAGATAGAGATAAACATACAAGTTACAAAAGACTCACAGTCGACGATTTTCCGCGACTCAAACGCATCAGGCTGTGAAATGAGAAATGTGCAAGGCGCAAATAGTGTGCAAGACGTTATGCGTAAGCTTAAGTGGTTTACACTGTGATTCGAATAGACGAACTAACGCCATCTATTTCACTAAGTTTATGCCTTTTTTTATACTCTTATAAATAATTGTTGATAGATTTGACACAAATGAGATTTTTACAATAAAAAATATACATATATTTTTGTCTCTTTTTTCATAAATACATACACAAGTTATACTTTTTATAAATCTAATGGAAGATGAGTGAAAAGATGCCAAATGTTTGTGAACGTGTTTTTTTTTTTTTTTTTTTTTTTTTGAGAACTCGTGTAATCGAGTCGTAATATTATTACAATTTTGGAAAACATGACTTTCTTTGTTCACCATCTTTCCTTATTTGAGGCTCCATATTATAATTTCTGGTAAACATTTTACTAAAATACACTTGTATAAAAATATACAATCGCTAATTTTAACGTTATCATTTAAAAGTAACAATCACCATATGAAAAATAGGTAACAGAATGGTAAATTATTTATGCAGTTCTAAACAGAACTTAAAATGTCTCTTACACAACCTTTTTCTAATATCTTGCACTTTATACTTATAATAAGAATATTTTACAATAATAACATTGTAATTTTAAATAAATTGGTGCATTATACTTAACTAATATCAACGCAACTTGACGCACTACATGTGCTAATACATTTCAAGAGGTACCTCACGAGTTTTAAGGCACATTGTTAAGGTCCCAAGTCCACAGGCAGTATTTATAACAGTTACATCAACAGTTCCTTGAGTGAAATTTCTTTGACAAACAATTCAGTCTTTAATTAATTAACCTTTCATTACCTAAACTACAGTTTTCATCACCTAAATTAGAGTAATTGTTGTTTGCACCACATTTTGCACACTTTTGAGATTCACTAAAATTAAAATTAAAAAATTTATTGCATGTTGGTAATTATAAAAAATTTAACATTAGTATAAAGTACTAACGTTAAGACTGTATGGAGTTTTTTCCTTAATTCATTGCAAAGGTTTGCTTCAACAGAAAGAGCTGCTTCTTTTTCTCTCAACTGCTGTCTTAATTGATAAATTGTGTCTTCAAGAGCTTCAAATATAGCCTGAAAAATGGAAAAATATATAAAGATATTTGATTAGTCATTCAGTATACTTTGAAAAATCAAGTTGTGAGAAAGTACTTATTAATGAAAAAAAATCGCACATTCAACTACTTACTCTCGACTCTTCTACAGTATCTGATAGTGCAGGTGGTTCATCAAGGCAAAAAAATTCTCGGACACAAGGCAAAGTTATCAAAGTTGGACTGTTCAACAATCCATTGACAAATGCTTGAAGGCCCCGTATTCGCTCTTCTAAAAAACTTGGAGCAAAGTTATCACCCAGCCATTTTTTTCTAGGCAGCGATAAGTGTGAGATAGAAGCTTTCTGCCTCTTTAATTGAGTATACAAGCGTACAAAATCTGTATATCTTCGGAAGACAAACCAGCAGTCTCCATTTTGAAACTCGACTCTCAACTTGTAAACCTGTAAAATAAAAAATAAAGATAATAGTATTACTAAAAGAATGAAAAAAAAAAGAGTACTATAATGAACAAAATAAACTTACTGTAAATCTGGCTCTCTCCTCCATGACTTCATAGCCAATGATGGGTATTCTGAGATCTGAGTTAAGTGGCTCCTGGAACTCTGTATTCCCATTCTGGCTGTCATCGTCCGTTGACTCAAAAGGTTGAACAGTAAACGAATTCGAGTTCCCTGAGCCTATAGAATCTGGACTATCAAGATCTCTCTCCTCGGTACTGCTGCACACCTGCTGTTGCTGCTGATTTTGTTGTGATCTTGCTCTAGCCCTACCGATCGCCAGGGTAACTTCACTGACACAACCACTAACACTACCAACGACACTGCTGGTCTCGGAACTTGACATTGTTGCGCTCCAGATCGGAACTGATCGACTGCTCGTTGAATTTTAAGTTTTTCTTCGAAACCTTCGAGAGCTTTTTCTTCAGCGTATGTATATACATAACCTAATCCTCATATATTATGCTGCTGCTGATGATGATGATCTCGTTAAATTATTAATAACCGTTGGCCCATGTAATTGGCTTGAATCACATTTGCCCAAGGATTTTATGAGCCTGTATAATCACTTAATCGCATTTAAATTGAGTTCACGGGACGGTTTCGGTGCAAATTTTTCCACTCCACTAAGTATACCTATTGATGAAACATTTGATTCTTTGTTGCGCTTGTGAAAAGTAAAAATAAAAACTGTTGTTTACATTTTTAACACTAAAAACAAAACACACGTATGCATGCATGTATACGCTGCAGCTGCAGTCACAATTATGCATGTGGTGCGTATATATATGATGGAGTGATTGGACTAGGAAATTGGAGCAGAAAGTTTTGTAGATAAGGAGAAATTCTGTATTAACAGTTTGATTTGAAGGAGAGGTTAGGTTCGATTTCTACACAGATTTTCAAGTGCCACTCACAAATGTGCCGGTTTATTTTTGTAAATAAATAGTATAATACGAGATGTGGGTGTAAAATGTTTTTAGCAATGCAAAATACAATTTGTTGTGATAAGCGATAAAATAAAAGTATGAACTATGCAGTATGTTTCTAAAGCCAGTGCATAAAAGTTACCAGTGCGGATGTAAATAATTGTTTTTAATTATGGATACTACGTCAAGAAGAAGTTAACGTAAATAATAATTAACTACTAATAAGTAGAAAGTGTAAAAATGAATAAAGATTTCCCAAGCCTTGATGGGCAAGTTAAAAAACATCAACGGGAGACTGTAACTCCTTACAAAGTTGCTGTTGTGATGTTTATCAAAATTTATTGTTCAGATACAACAAATAAAGGTAAAAATTATTGAATTATTTTTTTCTTATCTTAACGTGTCATTTAGGAAATAAATAATGATATTATTATTTTTTTTTGTTCAGCTGTTGTTGAGAAGAGGGATTTTTGTATAGCAGCTTTGAAATTAATCCAGGTAATTTCGTTTGAATTAAAATTTTTTGTTTATACATGCCTAAGCTCTATGTGATTCGTATTTTTTTCTTATTTCAGTCACCAGATTTAGACAAAAGAGATATATTATACCTAATAAATTCAAATGAATTTGAGTTGGCTCGTTTGAGTTTACAACTTAATGATGACTTGGAAAAGTTATGCTCAGGAGGCATTACAGAATTATTAGATCTATTTGACAGTCTTGGAAACTTGATGAAACCTATTATAGATAATCCACTTGTTGCCTTACTGAACAAACATTCTGTGCTTGGCCTTTATGTGAGAAGAACCATTATGTTATTTGAAAAATTATCATTTTCTAGAGTTGTTACACTTTATGAAGATTTAAAGGCTTACATGAAGGAAGATGATGATGATGATATATTAAATATGTTTATGGCAGCTGGTTTTAGAAGTGAACAAACGTTTCCTAAAAGGTTTAGTAACAATATTTACTATAAAAATTGTGAAACTTTTGTTAAAATATATAAACTTTATTTTGAAACTATTCAGCCATAATGTTTGGGGTGGAAGGCAAGCCGAGCTACTTGTTGCTCAACAAGCTCGTGCACTACTTACAGATGAGCACAAAGCTTTACCTCCGGCAGAACTTCAAGCTCTTGTCAAAGATCTCTTAAGATGTAGTCCCTATTACGCAGAAGCAGTGAGTAATTTATGCTGAATCTCATTACAAGAATAACGTACTCTCATTGGCTCAAATTAAGTTGAATAAAAAAAAATTTCTTTTTAGCATTATTTGAGTTATCTCAATTACTTGCGAGTAAGAGAATTCTGTGGGGCAATGGACAGTTTATATCATTGTTTTGATAGACTGACGCCTTTGGAAAGTCGACCTACATCAGATGATAAACTGAGAACTTTTAGATATGCAGCTCTAAATCTTTCTGCATTTTATGCTCAATTTGGTTACAAGTAATTTCAATACAAATTTTGGTTATTTGTCAAATAATTTTGTATTAATTTCACTTTTTCCTTGCTTTTCATAGAACAATGGCCCATTCAGCTCTAAAAGAAGCTATAATGCTGGCCCAGGAAGCTGGTGATAATGTTTGTCTACAGTTAGCTCATTCATGGATGTATTATTTGACGGATGATGACAATAAGTATACTATATTTATAAGCATAGTGTATTTTCTGGGAGAAAAAAATCATTACTTAAACATTTTAATTTTCTTATAACTTTTTTTATAGGGGACCATTAATCGAAAGATCTGTTGCAAAGGCAACTTCATTAAATATGCATCACACAGCTAGTTTGGCACTCATTGCATCTGCTCATAATTCCGCAATGGAGGGTAATAATCCTCAAGTAGTGTTTGAGGTGATTTCGTTTATATTTGAAGTAAAAAAAGAAACAAAGCAAAGGTAGCCATGAATGAGACCATAATTTTTTTTGCTCTACAGACCCTCACAAAATCAGACATGTTGAATAGCCAACATGCAATGGTTGACTTGATGTCAATGATTTACGCGGAAAAGACTGCTATTTGGGCGTACTATGGTAAAACGGAAATGGCATCTGTATGCGCGCAATTACTGTTGCTCTTCAACTCGGGTGAAAAGAAACAGTTGATGTTTAATGGCCCATCTACTTGTCAGGCCGTTGCTACAGTTGCCAATATCCTTCACGATATGGGCGAGTATAATTTAGCAACTACTGTTATCGAACACGCCAAAGAACGGTTTCCCAATCAGCCGAGCAGCAGAGTATGGGCTCTGAGCGAACAACTGCACGAATTCTTCAAGCTTATGAGAAACGAGAAATGGTCTGCTGCCGAGCAGATTGCTTGGGACATTTACGGTTTGGATCCTATCGAGAGCAAATTTAGGTGAGATAATCTATATTTTATTCTCACTTTAGATTAACAATACTAAGACCTGCAATTGTTTTTCAACAGACTGATGGAAGTCTTATTTGCGATGCACGACTTTCCGGGTGCCATGAAAATAGCTTACGAACTTGACGAAAATGAGAGCATCACGGCTCAGCAGAAGGTCAGAGCAAAGCTTTGGATGAGCCAAATAAAGTGTGGTTCCGTTCATGCCGGCACTCCTATATCGACTTCAGATTCAGTATTACTGTTAAGTTCCGCCTTGGACATAGCTAAGAGTAATCATTTGTCGTACTACGAAGCGCTTGTCAATATGCACATGGTCACTTGTCAGGTAAACATTTTATTCCAAAGTTCAGGTTTCGATTAGGTAAAAAAAAAAAAAAAAAAAAAAAAATTATCGATTTGCATTTACAGTTACTGTTACAAATGCCCTTTCAAGCGCTGCGTAACGTTAAAGACGCTATGATACACATCTTAGCTCACGGCGGATTGTACGACCAGGCTCGAGCTTACGTCACGTACGCCAAGGTGCTATCGGCCAACACGCAAAATCAGACTGCCGAGACGAAAAAGTACATGATGATGGAGGCCATAAAACATTTGCAAAAGGCCAAAAAAATACTAGAAAAGCTAGAAGCTAACGACAGATTAAAGAGCACACTGTATCTCTTGAGTGTTTTTTATAACGAGATCGGTATGCACGACGAGCGCAACAAGTGTGCCTTTGAATTCAAACAGCTAGACCAGCAGTTCCCTATGGATAGAAATCATGTTATTTTGTTTTGAATATGGACTCTTTTACTTACAGAGATGAAATCAATTTTCTCATCATAATTTAAGTGGTGAGGTGCGAAAAATAGTTTTTGCATCTTTCTTTTTTTTTTCCTTCTTTAATTGATCAAAAAGGGAAAGGCTATAAATAAAAATGTTTTCTTCGCAAAATGTACATAGTAAAAATCAAAATGCCAACTTTTTCGTAACTATACTTGTGGAATTTTTTTTTATCTATTGAACAGATAAGAATAAATTTTACGTTATGGCGTTGTAAAATATCACAGAACCATAGAGATTTTCATTATTTACGTCCTAATCCGCATCCATTTTTTGCAATCAATAAAAGTGAAAAGATACGTCACTGTCAAACAATAATTTTTTTAAATTACAAACTTCTAATCTAGATATTTTATTAATAAGATATTAAAATGTTTGAAAACCTGAAAAACAAAGGTGAATTTCGGCGAAAAAGTATATCAGATAAATTAAGTTGAGGATTATCATTATCAAGTAGAGAAATTTATTTATCTATTACTTATAATACAACAGTTTAAAAGCACCACGTAGCTAGAGACAATGACAACATTTCAGCAAGGACGGCGATAACTGACAAATTGCTCCCAAAATTAAAGACCCTTTCATGAGAATTGAAACTAAAGTTGTAAATAGTTTTTGTATTTCTAACAAATAACATATTTTCAGGGATTTTAATTGTTCGCGTTTTGCAGTTAAGTATCTTGTCGGTTGAAAGATGCATAATTTCAAAAAGAATTATACCTGTCGCACGCTTCTTCAAATGTTTACTTATTAATAAAATAAGGAAAATTTGTTTTTTAGATTTTTACGCAAAGTAAAGAGGTATAGGTAATATAAATACGTATATGGGATTGTCGAGTTGACTACATTGCAGTTGACTGAGAGAGAGACAGTCTTGCTCTAGTAAACTAAGTAAACTTCCCCACACTCTGACAGTCCTGACTCCTAACTCATCCTTCCACCAGTCCACCTCCAACGTCAGCTATAACGTCGCAATAAATGTGTATATATTATATATATATACATATTACATGCTCACACTACTTAAGCTCGCAGCCCGCACGGTCGCAGTGACAACGACAACTCGCGAATCAGTTACGTGCGAACCACGACACAGAGCGATTTACTTAATTCATGTGTAATGTTTTCAGTGGGCATAAATGAGGTAAGCTCTGTCGCAATTCTTACGTATTTTTTTACGATTCGTGTATCCGATTAATAATATCATAGGGCTGCCAATCCATATAATAAGTACAATATTGTACTCGACAAAAATATGCATGGTAATGGTTGTACAACGTTAGATTGGCCAGCTTCGAGCTCTTCCACAGTACCTATACAAGTGAACTTAATTGTCTTGCTTCGATCTCGCGATTCGCAAGAATCATGGGTTTGTGAAGTTTTGTGTTCCCCCGGATGATTCCAAGCTAGTGTTCCCAGTGCTGTGTGTGTGTGGCGTTTCGACTCCGACTACTCCGAGGCTTGGTCTTGATTACTTATTGTTAAGTCGATTTGTGTTCGTACCTTACATAAACATCATTTCAGGGCTATATTGTTGTATTTTTTTTTACTTCAAGACTTGGAGGAAAGGGGGGGGGTGGTATCAACGAGGAAAATGCTTTTGATATTCTTCGGTATTACCTTAAAATCCATCTGTATAAGTACCCGATGTAGAGAGAAAAATCGAGAGCGCTGATGATGTGTATAGATGTACGTCTATATATAGCTGTAGGAGCTCTCCTTTCTCGGCAATCTCGGTGCACCTACAGTTGTCATGTTGCAAGTAATCTGTTGACGGTGATGATGATGATGATGGTGCTCGACGTCGAAAACTAGGTAGTCCAGGCCATCGTACGCGTTATTGCGTTATTTTACGTTTGTCCCTAAGGTTCCTGATGCTTTTACGATTTTCCGAAGGAAAACTACGTTTTCGAGGGTAAGGGTGGTCTGATAGATTGTTCCAGATGTGCAGTGTGCGTATTTTTGTTGAAAAAAGAGGAGCTGGGAGCTGGAGGAGGATGAATAGCATTGGATCGGGCGTACTACGCGTTTTGGAGAAAAATTTATATACACACACACCCACATTCATCTTTTGACGTATGTCGTATACACCAACTGCAAATCGCAACGATAAACAACGTTTTGATTTTTCGGGCGGTTCTCAAATGACAACTTTTTTTGCGGTGATGTGCGCGCTTACCCTTGTTTTTTTGTCGACGTGGGGATTGCAAACTGTCATCAATGTTTTGTTGTAGGAGTACTCAATAACTTTTTAATCGTAAAATAGTTTTTTTATTTCGTTGACACGCAATTTAGTTTCGTAATGGATGGGAGTCTGTTATTATTCAACATTTTTGTTTAAAAGTAGGTTTTTCTCAGTAATACTTTCATCAACTGTATGTTGTTTCTAAATGAATCTGCTATATTTATAAAGTTGGACATATTTTTTTTTGTATTTTGTATAATGGTTATAAAAAAAAAATGTATTGTTTTTACAGAATGCCAATTCAGGCACCACAGTGGACTGAATTTCTTTCTTGTCCTGTATGCTGCCATGACTTTGATGTGGCTATTCGTGGACCCATATCTTTAGGATGTGGACACACGATATGCCGCACCTGCTTGGCCAATCTCCATCGAAAACAGTGCCCTTTTGATCAGGTAGATTGAATTATTGTCACATTATTTTTGTCTCGATTAAATTATGAATACTCCTTGTTTTCAATTTATCGACTTTATTTTTTCTTAATCATTGTATCAATAAAAACCTTATTTTCAATCTTTAGAGCACCATAAACACAGATATTGAAAAGTTACCAGTAAATGAAGCATTATTGCAGCTTGTGGGAAACTCAGTGCCAAGTAACAATGCAGTTGCAAAGACATTTCAATCATACTTATCTCCTGAAGACTTTAACAACTATCTGGTGGCCAAGAGTTGTATTGAGGAACTTGCTCTCTACCTCAAACCATGTCAAGCCACAATTAATAATACAGCTGGTGTGTACATCTTTTAACATGATTGTTATAAAATCGTTAACATTACAATATGCCATTTAATTTTACAACTAGGTATTGGATTAGTATCTAGACCTATGCAAAGGAAATTAGTAACTCTAGTAGGATGTCAGCTTATGGAACCAGAAGGAAGAGCAAGAGCTGTGAGGGCGGCAAGGAGTCTCGGAGAAAGATCGGTGACAGAATTGATTTTGCAACACCAAAATCCTCAACAACTCAGTGCCAATCTTTGGGCTGCTGTAAGAGCCAGAGGCTGTCAGTTTCTTGGACCTGGTACGTTTACGTTTTTAAGGCAATCCGTTTTTTAAATGATAATTTAATCATAACAATACGTTTATTTTAAGGGATGCAAGAAGAAGTTTTAAAACTTGTTCTGCTTGCACTTGAAGATGGTTCGGCTTTATCTCGGAAAGTATTAGTAATGTTTGTAGTACAACGCCTAGAACCTCATTTTCCTCAAGCCTCTAAAACGAGTATTGGACACGTTGTGCAACTCCTCTACAGAGCTAGTTGTTTCAAGGTAAAAAAATTTAAACAGCGAATCATTTGTAGTTTGAAACGTTTTTTGAGACGTTATTGAACAAAATAAATGTTTCAGGTATCAAAACGTGAAGGTGATTCGTCTTTGATGCAGCTTAAGGAAGAGTTTCGGACATACGAAGCGTTGCGCCGTGAACACGATGCACAGATCGTCCAGATAGCCACTGAAGCGGGTCTTCGTATTGCACCAGACCAGTGGTCAGCACTACTTTATGGTGACACCAGTCACAAATCGCACATGCAAAGTATCATCGATAAGCTGCAGACACCTCAATCGTTTGCCCAAAGTGTCCAAGAACTCGTCATTGCCTTGCAGCGCACTCCAGATCCTGGACATCTTAGCAGTTTGCGACTACACCTCGAGCTACTTGCTTCTATTGACCCCAGTCCAGGTAAACGTGATTGAATATTCAACTGGAGACGTAAAAAAAAAAAAACTTGTAAGGAAGCCATTTTCAACTTTGTTTATTTACTTTTTTAGAATCAGAACCACCAAAGTGGGCTGAATGTCGCGCAGCACTCGAATCTATTAAGATCGTCGTGAGTGCTTTAGTTGAGTTTATACAGCATCATGGCAATCGTAAATCTCAAGATGGTGCCTTCAACACGGGCCAGTCCAAGTATAAAGTGAGCATGTGTCGTGACTTGGCGCTTCGCGGCTCCTGCCCTCGTGCGACAAGCTGCACCTTTGCTCACAGCGATCACGAACTCGACCTTTATCGATCGAAAAACCGGAAACTTGCGGTGCGACCAAATTTGGGTGTAAACGTCGATTCAAAGAATGAGAAGACCCTTATTGTGTCGCCTAATAGTGCAAACAAGAGTTTCAAGCAATGCAAGGACATGACTAATCACTACAACAAAAATCATGACAAGCATCCGCACAGAGACAGTGAGTACTGTAAAACTACATAATGGTAAATCTACAGTGTTGGAAGAGAGCCAATGTTCATAGGTGAATTTTTTCAGACGTCAACCATTTTAGCAAAAACAACTCGGCATCGCAACCAATGCTAAACAACGAGAATAACTTGATTGGTACCCTTGCGAATTACGTGATGCCGGGAACGCAGAATGTTACTCGTATTATTCCCCAAAAAGAGTTGCAATGCGGCCCATACATCATGCCTGCTGGTACTGCAACTTTCGACTACAACCTTGCGAATCTCCATCTCTGGGATCCAGGGCAGATTACTCCAGCTATGCAAAATGGTTTTCCAAATAATATAAACAACAACAACAACAACAATAATAACAACAACAACAACAACAATAATAACAAAAAACAAAGGACTGCAGCCAAGACTCTTGCAGCTCTGCTACAGCGAAGGCTCGAAATCATCAATCAGCTGGAAAACATTGTCAGTAAACAAACCCCCCCTCCAATGAAAGCGGTTGGTTTTCATTTCTAACAAATGACCCATAAACTTATCAGGTGGCAAAAATCTTTCAATTTTTACGAAAATTACATTTTTCAGAACTATTACGAAATTCAAAATGATTCTTTGTATCCAAACTACTCAATTTGGACGAATGCTCCTGCAAATCAGTCGACTTCAACTGCAAATATCAATTTCACGAACAATTTCATTTGTGGTGATTCTATACTGTTTGATGATGAGTTTATACCTTTTGATGCATCGTCGGCAAATAAATACGGTCCCATATCACGATTGTCAAAAACGATTTTAGGGTAAGAAAACAACGCAAGGAATAAATTTTAGTTTGTGTTAGAAAAATTCTTACCCAAACATTCGTATTTTTAGCAGACCAACGAACGGTGTACAGCAAAATGTTCTTTACAATGATGGAATCGCTAATTCGTTTTCTACTCTCCGACCCGTACCTACATCTAGTCCTGTTGCTACTCGATTTTATAATCAACGTAAGTAATTATTTTCAACTTTATTTGCACGTATCTTGAAAAATGAATTTTTTCTATAAAAATGAATTTAATTTCAGCTTACCCTACAAACGGAGGAATCCAACAGATCCTAAACTCAAATTTTAACGACTCTTACATTACTCTCAGTCGCAATGTAGCAGATACAGCCTCTCAAATGCAAATTTCCCGACAAGATCATACACCTAAAGAGTACATATAAAAATTTACTTTTTAAAGTTTTTTTATTTTTTGAGCTGAGATATATAATACTAAAAAATTCTCGTTTCACAGCTTTATCATTGAATCCCAAAAAGTTAAGCAACAGTTGAAGAACTTGGAAAAAAAAATCAATGATTTAAAGGTAAATTTATTAATCTTACAAACGTTTTAAAAAATGTATAATTACCGTTGAGTTTAATGCTTCCATTTATTTTAACTCACTAGCTAGCTACTCAAGAAGCGTCTTTTAACGAAGGTGAGAGATTGGCGCAAGAATTACAGATGATCGAGGCAGGGATCAGAGAAAAAGAAAAAGATGTGTGCAATTGGAGTCCATACAGCAACACGGCTTGGATTCAACCTTCTGCTAACCTGATGTCTAATCCAAATACGAATAAGGATTTCAAACCTCAAGACGTAAGTTTAAAATGCTTCAAAAATAAGAGTTGTTACAGTGAAATTCAGATAATTAAACATCGCGCAAATGTTATTTTTAATTAAAGGAGGATTCGTATGAAACCGATATCGCGAACGACATGCGGGAATTTGAGTTACGATGGGAGTCAGAGTTGCAGGAACAGGAGAAACATTGGTCTCGTGAGGATGAGGTCAATAAGTGTTGAAATAATCCATCATTTCACTGTGAAACCACTTGCTAACCCTTAAGCGAGTCTAAGTCAACCATAATGCTGTTGTAATCTGTGTTGCTATTATTATTTTCGGCAAAATTTTTTAATTATTCTCTAAGGGTGGGCTTAAGAAGTTTTAAACATCTTTTAGGTCAAATTTTTTTATCAACTTCGTTTGTACATAATGTTGAAAAATCCCGTAGAATTTTTACATAATGCTATGCATATAAGTTTTGATTTGCTTCAATTCTCTATTTGATTTCTTTTCAAAAAATGTCTCCATGTCGCTTTTACATTGGAGTATGAATTTTGTGAAGTTTCAATGCAACCTCAATGAGGTTAAATAATAATAATTTCCGGAAATTCGTACTTGCAAGCCTCGATTCGAGATAAAACTCTGTGGTAGATGTGGCAATCAGGAATTTTGATAATTATTACGTTCTCAAAAGAATACTTATCTATAGTCATTCAAAAAGTGATAGTTTATATAGTTCGAACAAGGAATTCAGATGCTTTACTAAAAAACTAAAATGTGCACGAGAATGGTATAAAAAAATATGTAAGATTTGTTAAAATTTAACAGAAATTAATCGTCAATGTTTTATAAACATGACAAGAGTGTAGTATATTTATTTATATATCTTTATGTATATATCTATGCAAAGTTTAGCAAAATTTACTGAATATCGTTAAGATGTTGGTAATCAGGATGATTAAAAAATATGCAATGACCAACCGAATCAAAAGGGTTGCATTGAAGTAAAGATTATGTTTTAGTAAGTAGAAGAGACTTATTGGTAAAAATATTAATGCGCAAAGTAAAGATCTTGAAATTTAAGATGAGTTAAGAATTGTTTCGTACTTGTAGGCGGACAAATCTATTTTAAGCCCAATTTTAAATTATGAAAATTTCGTGTTTCCTTAATTATTTGTTAATTTCATTATTTTACAAACCAAAATTTATATTACGTTTTTATGCTCCAGCTAAATATTTATCTGGCATATTACATTTATATCATGAATTTCAAGGTCCCAATTGCATTAATTCTATATTACTTCAACTACAATACAATTTCTTATGGACAGATTTGCATACTTGACGTAATTTATAAAAACAAAACGTTTTAAATAATGTAATTTTCTACATGCATTAGTTATAATAATGCTCGTGCACTCGCGATATCCTTCAAATGCATAGTTTTAAAAATCTTGCTACAAAAATTCGTAATTTAAGTTGTACAATTATGAAGTAAACATTTCCTCCAAAATTATTTTTCAGTTCTATGGCGTTACAAAAATATGTCCACGTCAAATTAAATTTCATATTATTGTATGCAATTATAATAATCAATTAAGTGCAATACTAGTTTAACATCGGCATGTTAAAATTGTGTATTTTCTAGTTTTCGTGGACAGATTACATACATTTCCAATATGTTATCACAAGCCTCTTTTTACTCAGAAGAAAATCTTTTCTTAATTAATAATAATAAAAAAAAAAAAAAAAAAAAAAAAAAAAAATTATCGATTTGCATTTACAGTTACTGTTACAAATGCCCTTTCAAGCGCTGCGTAACGTTAAAGACGCTATGATACACATCTTAGCTCACGGCGGATTGTACGACCAGGCTCGAGCTTACGTCACGTACGCCAAGGTGCTATCGGCCAACACGCAAAATCAGACTGCCGAGACGAAAAAGTACATGATGATGGAGGCCATAAAACATTTGCAAAAGGCCAAAAAAATACTAGAAAAGCTAGAAGCTAACGACAGATTAAAGAGCACACTGTATCTCTTGAGTGTTTTTTATAACGAGATCGGTATGCACGACGAGCGCAACAAGTGTGCCTTTGAATTCAAACAGCTAGACCAGCAGTTCCCTATGGATAGAAATCATGTTATTTTGTTTTGAATATGGACTCTTTTACTTACAGAGATGAAATCAATTTTCTCATCATAATTTAAGTGGTGAGGTGCGAAAAATAGTTTTTGCATCTTTCTTTTTTTTTTCCTTCTTTAATTGATCAAAAAGGGAAAGGCTATAAATAAAAATGTTTTCTTCGCAAAATGTACATAGTAAAAATCAAAATGCCAACTTTTTCGTAACTATACTTGTGGAATTTTTTTTTATCTATTGAACAGATAAGAATAAATTTTACGTTATGGCGTTGTAAAATATCACAGAACCATAGAGATTTTCATTATTTACGTCCTAATCCGCATCCATTTTTTGCAATCAATAAAAGTGAAAAGATACGTCACTGTCAAACAATAATTTTTTTAAATTACAAACTTCTAATCTAGATATTTTATTAATAAGATATTAAAATGTTTGAAAACCTGAAAAACAAAGGTGGANACTATATTTCTAAACGAAAAAAATAATTACAATTGTCTGTATTAACCACAAGAAAGATCCAACACGTAAGTTTTTACAGATTTTTCAGTGTTTTTTTTCTTTTTTATATTTAAAACGAGTTCGATTTTGCGGACTTTGCTTTTGAGCAAAATATATTTAGTCACATTGGCTTCCTGCGCGTTTACATAGGACAAAAATAATTGAAAAATTATTTTATACTTGTGTCATTCGGCTCTGCATTTTTCTTTCTTACTTTCAGACAATTCGATAAGAAACAAAATAGTTTATCTTTCTGTCGATTGTCAATTTATTGTATACTCGCTTTTTTTTTATCTATTTTGTTTATTATACTCTGTTGCTACATACATTGTTTCTAAATATCATGTTATAATATTTTCTTATTATGTTTTCAAGTTTACGCAGTTTGTAAATTAATCGTTCATTTACATTAATTTTTTTTTTCTTTTCAACAAGAGACAGCTGGATATACCTGTTTGCTTGGTGATGAGAGAAGAAAAAAAATATTGATAACATGTTAGAATTATGTGTTTTTGTTTGTCTCTAGGTTTTCCCTTTTTTTCGCAATGTACAGCAATTCCAGTTTTATTGGAAGTGTCGATAGACTTTTTACGAGTACATCAAGATATTCGGAAATAAATGGTTGAATATTTAAATAAACGTATAATTATTTTTGTACGATTTCAAGCAAGAACAGCTGTTTTTTGGTACGATATTTTTATTTTTTTTTTTTTTTAAATAGTGTCTACCAAATTATTGTTTGTAAATTTAAATTATTGAATCTTTACACTTAATTTTTTTTTGGGTAAAAAAAATGTATGTACACAAATAAAAAAAATAGGAGTCAAAAAATATTATAGTCGAATGTAAATGTTTTTCTGCAACACAAAAGTAACAGTGCAATATCTCTACTTAATTGTGCAACTTGGAAAACATTTTATTACAAATATCAATTAGTAGCTGATATTCATTTCGGTGGTAAAAAAGCTCAATTTTCTAGAAAACAATTAAAATTTAAAATACCAATAATTGTTTTAAAGCAAAAACGTAATTTTGTTATAAAGCTTGTTATCGTCCAATTTATATTTTCTAAATTTTTAAATATTTTTAATACTAATAATGTCTACATTAAACCTTTATTTAATTTGCTGACACTCTTAACATGGCAAGTACTTGTTCGCTTCACTCGCACGTTTATTTTTCTCATTCCTGGCAGTTGAATTTTTTCCAGTTGTAAATTTTTATCGACTTGTTGCAATACTCATCATTAATTTTTGAGAATTACTTCTTTCGTTATAAATTTTATATTTTAACACCAAATAAAANCCGAGTAAGTAGACTGAAAATAGAGAAAAAAATTTTTTATAAAAATAAAATAAAGTAGTAAAAAAGTAAGGAGGGCTGTGTTAACAAAAAAGTGCAGAACAAATATTGTTTATGCAAGCTTCAGATTAATTGCATGTTAAACATGTCACTTTATATATATATATATATATATTATGTTACGTACTATTACGAATGATACGGGCGTATCTGTGTTGATGGTCATAAAAAAATTAACAAATAAATAAATTTAAAAAACAAACAATAAATAGAAAATATAAAAAAAAACAGCAAAATAATTTTGAAAAATATAGACTAAGTAATGCAAAAAAAAATCGAAATAATTATAACGAATAAAATAAAATGTGCCGCAAGTGTATGTGACTACAAAATACAGAGATTCGCTCGACGAAAGATTTAATATCGGATATGACGGAAATCATGTGGAACCATTTTACTTTATTTTTGACAAAAAAACATGTACTGTTGGATTTTATGTAAACAATTATATGTCTACCCGGTGATTCGTTCGAATTTTTTTATGTTGGCCACTTATAAAGAAATTTTTTTACCATTCAGCAAAACATTTTTAATGCGTGTTGCATTATGTATTAATTAAATACATCATAAGTTGTATATTTTTCTCAGAAAATAATTGTGATGCTTGAAAGATGCTGAGAACCGTGATGGTTGAAAAATTTCTTTGTAAACATAATCTTTAGATTGTATTAATGTATTCTAGTTTTTGAGACAAATTTCAAATAAAATAAATTATATAACCTATTTATATAATACGTAAATATTAATGTATGTTTAATATTTGTGTATTAACGCAAGTAGGAAATAAAAGAAATGAAAAAATACTATCCTCATTTTAAATGTACGAGATTTTTCTGTTTCTATAATTTTAAAATAAATCATAAAAATTGTTTACTGTTGGTCAAAAAAATTTAATGCTTGTTTAATGACTGATGAAATTCGTTCAACTTTTTTTTATCTAATTTTTGTTTCTTGTAATATTTAACCTTTAAAAAAAATATTTTTTTTTACATTGAAGCATGTCTTTCAATATATTTTATTTGAATATTGTTGATAATAGAAGTGATAAAAATAACTAATAATTTTTTTTCAAATCAATTGCACCAAAAATTTGAACGAATCATACACGATAATATTTTAAAGCAAAAAAAATAAATATTGTAATATAAACGAACAATGTGTTTGCTCTTACAACTGCCTAATAAAAAAAAAGTAGAAGGTAGAAATAGATTTTAAACGTTGTAGCGTAGAAATACCATTCCTGTTTTTTCTATAATAGTCAATAAAATGCGATTTACGTATAGCAGCTTTAATATTCGAAAGTAAAATTTAACGCCACTGGTTCAAAAAATACTAAACGATTCAGCGAAATTTTAAAATTTTTATGTAACACGCTGTTTCGAAATTTTTTAAAACTGCATTTCTTACAAAAATAATCTTATTGTTTTGACACGTTTTATTATTATATATATACCATGTTTTTATCCATTAAAAGTATCAGCTGTTTCTCATTGTGCTCTCTTATTAGTATTTATAACTATTTTTTCTTAAATATAAATCTGAACCATCGATTTTAAGTTTTATTAGAGAAGTGATTTGGGAAAAAATGGTTTGAGCCACGAAAATTTATTGACTACATTAAATCCAATTGATATGATGGGGAAAAAAAATGCGTATGGCAGTAAAATTAAAAACTCTTTTTATGTTTCTTTCGCTGGTTGATTTGTTTTCTGAAATCTTTGTGTACAATCCATTTCCTCCGTCTCACAACAACAAATGTAGTGCGGTCGAAAGCGTAATATATTTATATACTCAATACAAGATGTCTGTAATCGTTTATTTTAAATCCCTTCGAAAAATATTATCATGAATAAAATAATTTCAGTTCTATTCATAATTACTTACTATTTCAGTGCATGGACAGAGAGGCACTTATAATTGTCAACATTATTAGTTCACTAAACTGTCACGTCAGTGACTCAGTGCTCAAGTAACAAAAGTAACTTATATTTTTATCATGTCATTCACACACAATATCAGTAGACAGTTGGTCTACTCTTGCTTGATAAACATGCAGCAGATCTTGATACAGCAATAACGGTATGTAAGTATATGCTGAATGATAAGATAATTTATATTAAAATACAAGCAAAGGTGCCGCATTGCACTCCTTCCAGATCATATACTGCCCGAAAATATACGTACGTACCTACATATTTTGCTGGTGAATGATTTTTAGATAAATTTTTTTTTCTGCAACGAATTCTATGATTAATTTGAAGAAAACGTTTTCCCGCGCATTGAGGCATTTGTGCCCTGTGTGCAGATGTCGCTGTCGTCGCTCACGATTTCCAAATCCAAATTTCCATAAGCGAACCGAACACAACATTCACGCAAATTGGGGTTCTTAGTTCTTACTGAAAAAAAAACTTGTTGAGACTCGACAGTCGAGATTCGAGACTAAAAAGTGTACTATTCACAAGCGCGCGCGCATGTTATACCATGCAGAAGTTGCGAGTCAACGATCGTTGCGTGGTGCTTCCCCTTATTTATAATTTATAATGTAATATATAAATCAGGTGTGTACAAATTATACTTGGCGTAGCAAAATACTAGATCCATTGCTACGACTGTCTTCAACAGTTCAACGTGGTGAGTGGGTCTGCAACGGCAGTGCGCGTTCCGTTCTTTTTTAAGGCTTTAGAGCAGAAAAAAAAAAAATACACGTCAGTGTCAAAATGAGCTGTACTTATTTCAGTTTATAGAACGTGGTGCATGTTCTGCTCCAACGCTCGCGTGTGTCGTGCATTGAGGTTTTGTGATGCAGGAGCATATTTTATTTGTCATCAAAAACGATCTTAACGTCAATCCTAGCTGACTGGCGTTAATTTAATCTGCTGACTGTCGAAGAAAAGGTGAGTACCCATATAAGTATACGTAATTAAATTCAGGTAACACGTCAAGCCCACGCCACGCGATCCCCTTCTTTAATGCGTCTTTGATCCTGATGGAGTCTGCACTCTGTAACATTGTACTTATACTTACCTACCTACATATACAGCGAGAACCACGCGTACGCGTTTAATACATGTGTTTGTACTTATATTACAAATATTGTTAAGCATACGTGATGGGTGTGTTGATGAGTGAGGACGAGCAAATACTTTTACGAAGGAAGTTCATAGTTCACGAGTTGTCTGCAGTGCGTGTGGCCCCGTCAAGCCGGCATGTATATTGTTTCATTACATTTGTGTGCAAGAATTTCTACAGCTATATTTTTCGTTTCGAAATAAAATCCAAGAACATTAACTCAGGATTTCGTATTTTGTCTTCTGCTGGACTTACTTTTCAGCAACGGTATATAAATATAATTGGAATGAAAGTGTACATATACACAAATGAATGACTTCCTTTTGTCAAACGGTGATGTGAATAATTACGAGGAAGGCTGACACGATGACTCCTCGGATTGGCATGATCCCTCTCCCAAATTTTTCTTCCTCTCCATGCTTGTTGTATAGTTGGTTGTCCATGATGGTTTTAATTGGGCCATGCGCGATTTCGGTTAAAATTTTTTTTACTAATAATAACACAACCGTATAATTGTTGTGTTTGTACTCGTAATATATTTGTCTGAATGTCTGAAAAGTGACTAGCGGTCAGTGTGTGCGCGCAGGGAAAGAAAGTAGGGCAAGGTGGTCGTCGTCGTCTGCGTGTAGTCGTGCATATTTTACTATACTACTATATACGTACTGTAGTGTCGGTACTCGGTGTAAAATATTTCAACGTGTTTTATTAAATTATTCATCAATTTTGTCAAGAAAAAAAAAATTGTTTTTGTTTACCGCACTCTCATTTCTAGTCTGTTTACCTTTGTTACAGAATTATAATACTTACTATCATTGTAGTTGACATATGTATGCAAGTCTGAATAGTTGAATGTTTCAACAATATTTACGTAGACAAGTCTGAAGTATTGATCTTAGATGACGCGACTTGTTAGTAATCAAAAGAAAAATTTGACTTTTGAAAAATTATATTTGCACAAGTGGAGACGATGATAACAAGTTCGCAAACGTAATGCTTGTACAATTATTTCATCGGAATGTGTTTTTCTCTTTATAGTTATGTAAGTATTAACGTTTCTAACGATGGAAATCTCGATTCTTTCTTTAACTTGTGAGTCTAAACAGTTCTGCGATCACTTACATTGGTATTGACGAAATTGTTTGATTTTTTTTGTGCCGAGAAAAAATCAATAGAAAATCTTTAATGTTATGTTAACATTAATCTCACTTTTGTTGCCAATAACAAGAATATTAATCTAAAAAATCTTACTATAAGTACGCCCTACGAGATAAAAATCTTTTATTTGCTGACTACAAATAGGTCGATACCACTTGACACTCCCTTTGATGGAAAAAATTTTCGGCGCTAAAATTAACGTTGTGAATAGATTTTTGTAGATTATACTGGAAACATTTAAAAATAACTCGACCTTTTTCGTGTAACATAGTATAATAAATATTTATACTTGATCAATGTAATGTCATTGGTGAAAGACGTAATAAATATAAATAGATGCTGGTTCATCGTATCCATAAAAAGCGCGGTGATTGACTTTGTACATGTACGACTTTTGGCAAATGTTAAGCAATTTTAGAGTACCATAGGACATTTTCGTGTTCCAGCAACAACTCCAACCCTCTGTTACCCTCTGCTCGATCATATAGATGAATAATCTCTCACTCTCTAACGTATAATCCAACAAATAAAAACAAAAGCACCCCTTTTTCTTTCTTGCTACCTTTGTAGAGCAGTGAGGGAAAAGCGTACATAAATTTTGAATACACGCCGTCTCACCCAAGAGCCAAACAGCCACCGGGTAGTCTCAAAATGCCCGCAGACACAACGAGTCAAGCTCGCCAGTGTAGCGGCCTCGGTCCGTGGCAGTACCGTTACGCCTGAAAGCTCCACGGCCGGCAGTACTGTCCGACCGATCCTAGAGGAAAAAACAACGATGCCGACGAGCGGCCTAGCCGTCAGGGGTGGCCAGGGGGTGGGCGGGGCGGTCGCGACCCAGGCGCCCTCGGCCCATTACCTCCACGAGGTCCACGAGTTGCCGGCTCAGGACGAGGAGCGGCTTGGGAAGCTCTTCCAAAAGCTCGATCTCGACGGCAATGGACGCATCGATGTTCACGATTTGTCCAAGGCGCTGCACGAGGTTGGCGTGCACGAGCGCTACGCCCAGGTGAGAATATTAATTTTTTTTTTTTTTTATATTTATCCAATGAGGATTTTTTTTTTTATACGTTTGGGTGCTTGTCCTACAATTGTTATCAGTAGTCATTGGTGCAAGACATATACATTGTTCCAATTATAATTTCAAGTGCGAGTTACTATTTCGATCGAGACTACTGTCGCAGTATTGGATTTATGATTACGGCTTGGAATCCACTCGGTTCCTGTACCTAATTAATAGAGCAAACGGAAATGATTGAATACGTCGAAATATACGTGGTTCAAAAATACGCAATTGATTTTACTTTGCGCAATTCGCTGGTGAGCTGGTTTTTTTACAAACGTTTTTGTGTGCCTCGATTCCTTACAAAAAGTCGCGCCGTTACTCGATGTACTCTGTATATATTATACTGTTTTGTACGGTTTCACAGGTTTCACTGGCGGCAATGAGCTTTCCGTTGCGCTGCTAGTATTAGATATAGTCTTTATATAGCCTATTGATCTATTACTTAATGCTTACAGACTAGTTTTACGTATTGTAAATTCACTTTTTACATTTTTATCTTGCAATAATCATTTCAACTTGAACTGCATTTTAAATTGAAATTGATAAAAAAGAATAAAAAAATTATTCATTTTTCAGAAATTTTTGGCTCGCTCCGATAAAACGCAAAGCGGTGACATTAGTTTAGCAGAATTTGTTCAGTATGTACGAGAACACGAAAAAAACTTACGTCTACAATTTACTGACCTCGACAAAAACAAGGATGGTAAGTTAGCTCAGATAACTTGACTTACTATTGCGGTTTTCACGTTACTTATAAACATTATTTCACGGATAAATTGTTCAGCTTTCACACTCTAGTTAATTGTATTATGTCACCTTTTACAGGTAAAATCGATTTGGAAGAGTTGATAAAAGCATTCAAAGAACTTGGAATTGAAATGGAGCGAGCTGAAGCTAAAAAGTTACTCCAAAGGTACGTGTGAAATCTCTAACACATTCTTTTACAAACTTTTATCAAATTCGAACATCGTAAATATGATTAATACGAAAATTTTTTTCAGAATGGACAAGGATGGCAGTCTCAACATCAGTTACAACGAATGGAGAGATTTTCTACTTTATGCTCCCACGACGGATATTCATGAGCTCATTCAATATTGGCGGCATTCAACGGTAAGATAAATTTTTTATTTTAACACAAACAAATTCATCTATAAAGCATCCCAGTATCACTAAAAGGACATTAGACGTAAGCTTGCGATGAACTAAATATTCCTCCCTAAGGAAGGAAATAAGATGGCTCATAATGTAATGCGGATACGCTTTTTTAACATGATCGAACGTATTACATTTTTGTGCCACAAATGTCGCGTCGATCGCACTCTGTTGAGCGGTGGAACTTAAAAAAATGTATATCGTCGGCGTGCGTGTATATCTAATAAGTGCAAAGCTTACGAAGCTCGGTGATTCGTCGAGAACGGTGGGCTCGACGAGTTCCCCTTCTCTTGGCTTCTCGAATAAATTCCGTGACGTTTCTCGCACGCGCGTTAACAGTCATGCACGACTGACCTTCATTCTTTCAGCTGTTCGTCTCGGAGTCGAGACACGCGCGCACTCTCTTTTCCTCTATATACACACAAACTGCTACACATATGCTTGCTGTTTAAAAACCTCCTTTTTTCATTTTTTAAATATCGAATCAAAAATGCTGATGATGAATGCGATGGTCTGTTGAAAGAATTTTATTTAAGCGTTATTTTATTAATCCAAAAATCTGGAGCGCATACAAATTATTTTTCACTAATTTCGTGGGTATTAGGAGACGAATTTTAATATTTTAATCGTTTTAAACGGAAATTTCTACTCGCGTCAATCGATGTTTGATTAAAATAACTAAAAATTTAAATTTTCCAGACAGCTTCTATCGAATTCCTAGATATTACTTTTGATTACTTTTCTATGCAAACTTAAGGTAAGGTAAGATATCAATGAAATTTGCTTGGAATTTAAAACTTTTCGAGCGTATTTTTTTGAAGGGACTGCATTTCGCCTCTACCAAGCTCGAATATATTTAAGATCAGTAAAAGTGAGACTTAAATCCGGGGTCATTGGATTACAAATCCGCCATCCATCTCTTGAACACAAACAGATAAACTGGCTGACTTGGAAAAAAAAGAATGCCAAGCAAATCACATTATTCCATCACATTTCAACACTTCTTGACATCTACTCTCTTCCAATGATTGTTGAAAAGAATCAATTATATAATGATGAAAGGAACCAAGACCACTTTATAGATTTCAGGGTAACATTATCTGTCGCAAGTAATATCTCTCGGTAATTTATTTTTTTGTTAACGCGTTCACTTGCGCACATCAGCCGCCTACAGCCCGAGAAAACACTACACGTTAGAATAAACAGTAAACAATGGATGAAATATACGCGCGTGTGAAACGCTACTGACGTAAATACATTTTGAGTCAACACAATAAATATATCCTGGAAACTGGGGAAAATTTTGTTTTTCAATGATTTGTCAGAAAATTTTGCACAGAAACAAGAGTACTGTAAAAAAAAAAAAAAAAAAAAAAACGTCAGGGATCGAGTGAAATTTTTTTTCTCGGTTACGGTCCAGTTAACACGCTTGTCCGATATGAATACAACTATGACCTTGTCTCAAAATTGACTGCGATTTAATAGTTCACGACACACGTAATTGTTAATTTCATTTTTTAAAAAAAAGCATATTACTTTTATGAGCGACTTCATATATACTGTGCCATCATTAACCGAGAATACATCAAACTGATTAAGTATTTTTCTACCAAACAATTTTTTTTTTTTTTTTTTCAAACCTGTGTAGCATTTTCAGGAAAATACGTAGAGTCAACATGTCAAGTGGTAGACTCATGTGACCGTGGAAAAATGTAAAATAGTTTGACAGAAAGTCAAATAAACAGTGTAGAGAAACCCCCCGCGTTATCAAGAGGGAAAGTCGTAACTTGATATACAACAGTCTGTCATAGAACAGGTAACGGCGATTCCCAAGGAATCATTTTACGACCCGACAATCGCTGGCACGCCAAAAGGCCAGAGACACAAGATATACTTATAGGTACTGTTTTAAAATACCTCCGAAATTTTTCCACCGACGCGCGAGGAAATCCCCCGTCTCGTTGTAATTCACAGCTGTTGTTCGACGCCTCCGCGTCCCGCAAACAAAACTTGAGGATAATCGTAATAATGAAGTACAAGGTATACACCGTATATTTTCCTTCCATCTGATTATTTTCGATTGTCACGTGGCTGTGGCCTTTTTATTTTCGTTGTAATATGAATAGTAAAGTGACTTATTGGGCAATTTTTTTAAAAAATTTTAAAAACTACTAGATAAAAAATGGTACTTGATAAAAAATAATGTGTACATAATTTTATATCCCCGAAATACTATGCGTACATTTTTATTGCAAAAAAAGCTTCATCATTTATTTTCCAACACTTGGTCATTGAAAGTAAAAGTACTCTAAAAAATATTTCCTCAATCAGGTGAGATGTAGCGAGTCAGTTGTAAGTTGTCAACAATTTTACTTTTTTTTTTTTTTTTCTTTTAGCAACGTAGCATGCTTGCAAACCAATCAGATACGAAAAGTTTTTATAAGTGACCATAAAAATCATCGGAACGGTGTGCAGCACAAGAAAAAGTACTTCGGACCACTTCGAACCAGTTTACTCGGCCGGGTGCTAGATCTCGGTGGGCGTCGATGATTTTTCCCTCCGTGCCCCCCACCTCTCGAGTTTGCGATTATTATCTCGCGGTGACGTCGGTCGTACGCCTCGGTTGTTGCACTCTTTTAATTAGAAAATTCGAGACGAGTATAGCGAGAGACGGGCCACGGCGCGAGCGTTCAATGTCTCGCGGGATTCCGTTGACCTTCGGTGGAAAATTATCGCCGAGTCATGCGGCTCGAATTCATTTCGCGCACTCAAATACAGCATTGCGAAATGAACGAAACAAGAGCAAGTTTGGAAATAACAGCGGGGGACCGAGATTATTGATGCTCACGAATGTTAAGTTGTTCAAGAGAGAATACCCACTGCAATGTGGGGAATCGTTGATGGGATCTCGAGCCATACGAGGACCAACTACTCCTTTTTTCAAGCATTATGATTTTTCCTTCATTTTGTTTTTACTTGAGCTACTTATAGGTTGATTCGTCGAAACATTCGAGTGAAATTTCATCATCCCCAAGCGATTTGATGCATAATAGCTCGCAACGCACTGTACACGCGTTATAAATATATGCATTTACCAAATATATACATGAGTGATGGTATGGAGTGTGAGGCCATCGGAGTACCGCCATCTGTATCAAGAGAGATGCGAGATGCTTTTTTTTTCCCTCGCCTAGTTTCGCTCCATGTCGTATACGAATGAAACGCAAATTCAATTGTGTTTTATCTTGGAGAGTTAATAAGAGCACGAATTTATTTCTGCGAGTATTACGATATTCGGTGCTTCTACTTTCTGACAGTCCCGAGGATGACAATGATTATACCATTCGTAGAACAGGACCGATTCTTCGAACAAAAATATTTTGGAACCCGTGACTCGACACCCGGCCTTTTTAATCACCTTCCAAATCACGAGTAAAATTCTTTACACTCACACACATGTATGAGTTCGCGTCTCTCGATGATTTGATTTTCATTTTACGTAATCAGTGGAACGGTCATGATGCACTTCTGATGGATTTATCAGAAAAAAAGAGAGGGAGAGAGATACGGTGCAATGAACAGCACGAGCCTTGAGTCACTTGGAGCATGACTGCGTATACTTCCATCTAGTAGATATCTCTCTGCGCAAACACAAAAATATTGGGGTCTCGGTAATTCGCCTCGCTTTCTATTGTACTTGGAAATATTATTCACTCGACGATTTTACGGATCGATATGAAAAAAAAAACTTGCTTTTTTTTTCTTTCTAATCGCATGATTGGAAAAACGATGCTCTAATAGTAAATTTATTTTTTTTTTCTTTCGCAAGTTTACGAGAAAACTTTCGACTTTGTTTCCTCTAATACTGTACGCGATGTTCGCTCATTCTTATCGGCGATCGATGGTGTTGACGTTACATTTGCCGATAAGACACCGTCGAGATATCCGTTACGCCACTCCATCAGACACCGCCGATGTGCGTTACGCAAGGCACACCACATCCCCCCTTTGTTTTGTTTAATTATCGGCCGAAAAAAATAGAAAACCAACACCCACACCATAATACACGTTCGCAGTGACAAACACAACTTATTTGTAATATAACGATATTCCTTGAACGTGGGTTGAACAAACTTTCTAGCTGTCGATTCAATCACTTTTGTACTTGATGCATCGAGCGTATACGTGTATACATTTTAATCAAACAGCAATTAAGTGTCCCTGCATTTAACGTTGATGGGATGACTTAATCACGACAAACATTCCGACTATACCAATAATTTATAACAATTACGCGTGAGGATATCGATCGGTAGAAAAATTCGTCCAATTTGTATGCGTAGGTATACTTATGAATATAAAATACCAACACGATACGACTCTGGGACAAACAAAGCTCGGCCAATACGAGTAGAGTAATCGTATTACTTCATAACTCTTGGCTCGCTGTACCTATACCTATTATTTTTGGCGCACGCGAATGCATGGCCGACTCTTGGTATGTGCCTCTTTTCCCTGGCGCCTCTTCGCAGGCGTTTCATTGTGAATTCGTTAAATTAACATTTTTAACTATTCAAATAATTTTTTTGCATAAAAAATAGAAAATCTCAAAGTACTGATATGTGCAATACGAGCTATATACTTTTATCGTATATGGCTCTCTCTTTCTCTGCACAAAAATGTGCTCGTCTTTCATCGAGACGTACTCCTTTTTTTTGTTTTGCATCACCCGCTTTGGTTGTTTTAAATTTAGATGTCGAGCAACTGTTCTCTCGTTGAGTTTTATCGTGCGAGATGCCTGCGAGAGACTTATCTGATTTTAAAAAATTGCCCGAACGGAGTGAACTTTTTATCGCTGGTAGGTATTAACTGCAGGAAATGATTTTTTGAAATGCAAGGGTTTATCGGGTTTCTTTTGCGATTGCACTTACGAGGGATTTAGGAACGAGGAAACATTC